GGTAGATGCTGGGAGTGGCTCGGTGTCGCACTTTTTCCAGCCGAGCCACTACGGGCGATCGGAAAGCCAACAGGTTGTCACGCAGGATTTTGTATTTGATTGCAATAAATAAAATAAATTAATTAAAGCAAATCCTTTCCTGTTGTGTGCGTTCGGCTTCGAGCGAGACCCTTCAATTGCGGTCTTCGCCGGTCCCCGGTCCTAGGAATCTTTTATTTTGATTCGGAACAGCAGAGAATCATGCAAATACTAATCATAATATTGTAGAAGTGCTATGTGTGCATCAATTATGTCAATCTGATTTTGAGAACTGTGACAAAATCACCCAAAGAATCGATCATCAAGCTAGAACAATGCACCAAGCAAGACCGACTGACTCGAACAATGACAGGACCAAATGAATGAGGGAAGAATGAGAACTCATAATAATCTCAGAAAGTACACATAAACAATCATGGTCAGCACCTCTCAAGAGTCCTCACTCATCCCTCTGGTCAGTCTCTCTCATTCTCTCTTTTCACTGTTCATCTCTGGTGCTGTGACCCGCGCCCACGTACAATCTGAGATTGAGGCCTCGTGACAAAGAGCCACCTGAATCCAGCAAGCTCTGAGCATGACCATCCAAGGTACATGACACGAAAGTTAACCATGGAGCAAAACTCCTCCCACAATGTGGGCAGCCCATCCACTGAAAAGACTCCTCGTCTGAGGTAGGGATACTCGGTGGGCTCAGTCAGCGCCTCAATGTCGATCACTGCTGGAGAGATGTACCTCTCTGCCAGGCCAATCATGTCTAGCCAGCTCGTGCCATCTGTGAGGAGGGAAGGAACAGGAGGCCTGGGATAGTCAGTATAAAGCTTTGGCCCAAAGCTGCGGATCAGCATAGTGCCACTCTCATCGAGCTCCCTCTCTCTCTGCTCGATGTATTTGGTGGCTGAGATCCAGACTGGATCGAAATGCTCATGAATCTCCTTGCCCTTTTTCAGGTATGGCCTCGGATCGTGGATAGTGCCATCAGCAAAACTGGTTTGGACAACGAAGATTGACAAATCTCCTTGTCTGAAACTGATGGCACTAGCATACTGATAGCGGAATGCCTCTTTGCATGAAATCTGATTGAGATTGGCCAGCACCGACTCGCTGACTTGAAAGGGTTCAACCGTACTCATGGATGAACTAGTCGGTGCAGACTAGATGATCACTGAGAACTGATTGCTGACAACTGATTACTGAAAAATTGATTGCCGAGAACTGATTACTGAAAAATTGATTGTTGAGAAGTGGTTGCTGTTTTCTGAATGCCGTCTAAGAACTTGATGCCACTGACTGACTGCTGTTCTGGAAATTGATTGTTGGCTGTTCCGGAAGCTGATTGCTTGCTAATGAATGCCTGTTGCCCTTTGAGTTGGCTGTTTGCTGATTAGACACAGATTGAGTAGTGACTGAATCCACAGTTGGATGTCATTTTGAACATCGTTCTAAGTACTGTTCTGAATACTACCCCAAGTACTGTCCTGAACGCTGGCCCAAGTACTGTCCTGAGTGCTGTTCCGAGTGTTGTCCCAAATACTGTTCCAGGTACAGCTCTGAGTACTGTTCCGAGTACAGTTCTGAGTACTGAGTATTGCTCTGAACATCCACTGTATGCCTTCCGATACACTGGGCACAGTCTGATACACTGAATCGTGAGTCCTCGTGTACTCGTACTGCAAGAGGAGCTGCAAGCTGTTGCTGTTTAGATGCTGGTTGAGCTTTGGAAATGGTAATTTGACGCTATTGGGCTCATGCGAGTTTTGCCCTGGCCTGCTCCACACTTTCTAGCGAGGAACCAATACTCTTGCAATTTACCGTTGAGTCCATGGAAGTAGATTACATACTCAATGTACTTATTTTCCCCGACTACCTTGACCGCGAACTCCCTCTGAGTTAGCTTGTGAAACTCCATATTCTGACATGCGCTATCCTCCCAGTTTTCATGTTTTTCCAGGACAGCTGTGCTTTTCACCACGAGGGTCTCCCTTTCCTTCCAAACGGCAAGACCCTACGGTCAGAAACAGATAGCCACTCTCAAGCCTGGAGTAGTTAACGCTAATTACGACGTTCGATAGCTATTGATAAATTTTCCGAGAGCGTTATATACCATCGCCCCTCAGAAAGGTCAAGGAGCGAGTTGGTTGGCAAGATGATAGTCCAACTGCTCGTAGCTCCATCGAGGGTTCCGCGCTCTTTTTTTTTTTTTTTTTTTTTTTTTACTGTCCAAGGACGACCAAGTTACCTTCACCAAAGTGGGCAAGCTCATTCCGCAGAGTTGTAGATAACACCGATCATGGTCGTCTCTCATGACCGTTCGGAGCCACGTAATGGAGTATAAATTTTTCATCCAGCCAATGACCGTAAAGGATCCACTCAGCAATCTCAAATAACCTCTCCGCTATTCTCGCATAAAACGTGTCATAATTTCTCATAAATAATCAGTCATGATAGGCATGCCACTAAGAGCAACGCTTATTACTCAGGATAGTACGGTTCTGAGTATTCCACGTAGCTCTGGGATTAATGCTCTTAGATCTGCAGTAACTTATACGTCGTATGACATTGCTCTGAGTAGTTTTTCTCACTGAGTATCACAGGGGATATGAGATTGTCGGCCCTTTGCCAATATAAAGCGCCAACGAGCCCCTTCTGAGCTCTCCTTTTATCAGAGATGGTACGGGGCAACTACATGAGACGCTTAGGATATCGTTCTCCCCATGCATAACAACAGAGTAGTTTTCACCGTTTCCGCACAGAATGCACCAAAACAAGCAATCATGACTACTTCCTCTTCTCATGTACTGAGCAATGATAGCATCACTGTTTTAGTGGTCTCTCATCATAAACATAGAGGAATCACTACCGCGTGTAGCGACTCGTGCTCGTTCATGTTAAACAGAAGTGAATGTTTGGTGTTTATACAAATGTATCACCTGGGACGTTCCCTCGATAACAACTTTTTGTCAAAGCATAGTGCAAAATATGGCTGCAAGCTGCCCTTTCACACTTTGAGTTGAACGATACCCTTTTAAATTTTTGTGGGGCAGAATCATGACCGGATTCAACGTAGGCTAGCAGTAGTAGAAGCGCTAATTAGTCCCCATCAA